GTTCCAACCGCCACCCCGGCTATCACGTCAGCCAGCTCAGGCAGGGCTGCTGATACATAGCAGGGAGCCAGGTATATAATCAGCAAGCCCACTTGTACCCCTAGCCCCCATTTCACAAGGAGGGACTCTACGCCGTCTATCTGAGGCACAGTGGTCTCCCTAGGACAAAGGCCCTCCCTTATAATGACCGCTACCCCCCTGCCCCTACCCCGGGTCCTCGGCTGATGAAATGCCTGAAAACCTGGTGGGCAGATGTCTACAAGAGGTACTCCTCCTTCTACGCCCAACCAGGTCTCAGTAATACCCGCCAGGTCCGCACCCCCCTCTAAAATAAGATCTTGTATGAGGGGGGGCAGTTAGGGTGGTGGGAATTTAATTTAACACCATCTCAAACGATCAGGTTTGGAAAAGCTGTTCCATAACATGTTATTATTAAAAGTGAATCATGGGGCATATTCTAAGAATGTATGGAAGTTAGAAAAAAGTACTTAACCTAACCTAGTCTATGCCTTCCTTTTCTCTAGACCAAATTAAATGTATTAGTGCTCTGGCCACATACAGCCTACATGAACTTTGTAATTAAGTGACATAAAATTATTAGGCTTTAATCTTTTTTTTTTTTTTTTACTTGACTGTTACTTGTAACACAAGCTGGCAGTGAAGGTCCACAAAGGCTGGCTGTGGATGAAAGAACCAAGAAGTATCATTTTCTTCTTTTTTATCTTTTTTGGCTTTGATGTTTTTAAGCATCTTCAACTTATGTGAATGTGAGCTTAATAGAAAGAAAATTGTTTACAACTATAGTGAGATACATTTTATACGGGAAGAGAGTAAACATATTCATAGAAGTGATATGAGCATTGTCTCTGACTTAGTTCTCTCTCTCCACTGATTCTTTCAATTAACTCCCTTGCAGTGATTTTATTTTATTTATTTATATCGCACCTTTATTATTTTTTTATAAACAACTCAAGGCAGCAAACGTATCTAATACTCCTTCCTCTCTTCCCTCTCCCTCCATACCCACCCCAGATTTTTCGGTATCTTCGCATTTTCCTTCCTGAGAGCGGTTTTGCCATCAGACGCTGTAGTCGATATTCCTTAGAAATAAATGGAGCCCAGGTAGTGTCTACAAAGTCATGGTAAGTTCATAGTACTACTGCTTCCCCATGTGGCAAAATTGTTAACTTGCACGCTGGATTATACCAACCAGCATACAAAGAAATGGATAATAAAGTAACCATGCATTTGCTCTTGCATGTTTTACTTAAGATTACAGCAGCATAATCCTCTGGATAGGTAAGGTTATTTTTTTCCTCTCCCATAAGGAGAAAGAATGATAAACTGGAGCTTTTAGAGGGCTACATTGCAGAACTGACAGAACCCGACGAGAGCCTCCTCCGAGCAGGTGAAAATGACTTCAGCATCATGTACTCCACCCGGAAACAGTGTGCCCAGCTTTGGCTAGGGCCTGCAGCCTTCATTAATCATGGTAGGTGGAAGCGTTCAGGTGCAAGTTAGAGAGGCAGTTGCCTCAAACTGTTTAAATTGTTATGAAAATGATAATGGTAAGTTTTATATAACCGGTCTTATAATTTAGACTAACTGATGAGGAGAAATAAGATAGCTATCTATCCCAGATCAGAGATATTCTAGTCAGTAGTCTAGATATTCTAGTCAGTTATTTGGGAAATTGAACTTTCTATAGGTACCAATAGGGATATATCAGAACCAAACAGTAGTGATGACTGGTATGTAGCAAATATGCAGTTGTCATTAATGGGGCGGTACAGCAATCAGGATTCAGTTGAGAATATATTATTCAGAGCTCACATGGGAGTGCTCATTAGACTTGTTGACGTTTCTTTAAATCCAGTGTAGCTTTTCTTGGGCTGCTGTGTGAAACGAGGGAAAGGCACAACTTCTTTACAGAATTGCCACTGGAGCAGTGTGAATGTCCCCAGATCTCCAAATCACATTTTCCCCTTCAAATCTGAACTGCTGCATGATCCTAATTACAGTATTAAGAATTAATCATCTCATTTCAGTTAGCTTTGTAGGTGCTTCTGACACAAAGACAGACAACACTCTACACTTAATAACTTAATTGGGTTCCAAAACTTGCAGTGTTTTTCATTAACAAAAATATTTTAAAAATATTTTTATCTTGATGTCTATATACTGTTTCAGTTTTCTCTTAGGAAAATGAATATATTTTCCTAGTTAATATGATTGACTAGGTAATAATGATAAAGCATATTTTATTATAACAGTCATTGTCTTTGGATAACCTATAAATGAATTGTTCCTACTAACATGGTTTCTCTTGAGATATGTTTATATTTTAGTAAAAGGAAAAGAAAAAAAGGCATTGTGGTTGCAATGAGTTGTTTCTTTGGTAGAATTGCTGAAATTTAAAGGCATTGAGGCTTAAAGGAGGACAATTTGTTCCAAAGAAATACAAATGTCTCTACTTATCTGCCCAGTTAATGACTGGACAGAAGCAGTTTCTTTGTAGTCAGTCAGTGGCCTAGTCACGTCACTCTGTATGTGCACCTGTGCAAGTTATCTCATCGGTTATTTTCTAAATTCCCAAGAATTGTTATTATTTTAGTAACTGGGAGAAATGTGGATGCTAACTATCAATATAGATGGCCTGTAGATTAAAGTTGCTTGGTGCTGTTTCTTGTGTCAGCTTTCATAGTGAGCGACATTTAATAATAATAATAATAATGATAAAGTTGGAAGGGACCTCGGAGGTCATCTAGTCCAACCTCCTGCTCAGGCAGGAAACCCTATACCATTTCGGACAAATGGCTATAAAAATTGAGAATTTGATAGAATTTTGATTTGTGAAAGGGTTGATGAAAAATTAGTTTGCAGTGTCTTAAGAAACTTCTTATCCTAAATGCATTTGAAAATCTAGTCAGGATGTTATGTTTTATGTTGAATAGAGGACTATTTACTTTTTTTTGAAGCTGGGACTAAATTCTCTGAAAATTTAATCTTAAACTTATGTCTCATTTATTTAAAGATTAGGCATAAAAAGGCATTAAGAATAATAAGCTGTTTTAAATTTATTATTTATTTATTTTTCACATTTCTAAATAGCCAAAATGGGAGATGTTTGTTTACCACCTATTTGTGAGGCAATAGTCCGTTAAGAAAACTTCCTTAGTTAATTGCTTGAAATGCTGCAAGAGTAAGGTTTTGAAATGGACCAAGGGATTATCTGATAGACTTAGGATTCAGAATTTAACTGCAAAAGGCAATAGTGAATTGAACTTTCTTAGAAGCTTCTCCTTATTCAGCCATAGAACTCATAGAAAAACTTACTTCCTTTCAGTATTTTAAAATTTTCATTAAAGGTATAACACATAAGGCACAATTGTTTTGTACTTTATTGAGTGAGAGAGGTTTGATATGCTAATGTACTTGTACAAATGTCAAATATGCCGCCTTGAGTTCATAACGTGGAAAACAGTGAGGATTTCAGCCAAATACAATACTTTTCTTCGGCTGGATTTCCATAATTTGCATTGCACCTACTCAATTGATTCAGATTTGTAAATGCTTCTAGATAAAGCAAAATGTCCTGTTGAAAAATTGAGCAAGTTTTCTCTGCTGCAGCTTCTGCTAAGAAGGAATACTTGTAATTCATGTTTAGCTCTTTTTTAAAATCTCCCTTTTTCTTCTTATTGTTCCCCTCCAAAATGTAATTCCTGCTCACTGTGCAACTAATCAGACTGCAGACCAAACTGTAAGGTAAGCTGTGTTGCCTTATTGTTGGGGCACGGGATGCTGTTCGTTAGGATACGAGACTCTGAACTTGGGATGAGGCCTAAATGTATTACTGACTAGAGTGAATAGGAATGAGAGGGAATATATTTCGGGAGAAGTTGAAATAGACCAGGAGCACAATATACTGTAGTAGTGTCTGGAAAACACTTAGGAGGAGTTGTGATTGCCTGAGGTAGAAAAGTATCTCTTTGTAATCCTAGGAACTTTACCTCATTAATCTTCTCATTTTTCACTGGAGGTACAAGACTTTTTTCCCGTCTTGGAAACTGGAAATATGATACAGTTTTCTATTGTTTAGGATCAGAAGAAATCAAATTCTCTTTGATATCCTGTTTTGCAAAATTGTTCCACACAAAGGCGTAAGAAGTCTGAACAAGTAGCTTTGAGAAAGAGTTGATGTGAAATGTGGGCTTTCTGAAGGGGAAGAGGAGACTGTTTCATTCTCTCTCTCCCCTGGGAGTTTCTTGGATCTGCTTCTTCTCTTTCTTTCCCGGCTATCCTTTCTTTCCTGCTTTTGCTACCCTAACCCATTGTTTGTGCTGCAGTTTGTCCCAATGGATGGGAACACGGCTTGTGTCAAGGTGCTGCGGGACATTGAGCCAGATGATGAGATCACATGCTTCTATGGTGACGGCTTCTTTGGGGAGAACAATGAATTATGCGAATGCCACACTTGTGAAAGGTGAAAATGGAGGGGAGCGCAATCTCAAATGTTGGGAGCTGGTTGGGAGTTGGGTTTCTGAGAAACAGTTGCAGGAGTGATAATCTCCATTAACTCTTGTCCCCATCTTCAAGTGTTTTCGGCAATCATTCCTGGCAAGAAGTGCAGACTGCTTAATGCCCAGGTGTTAACAAGCCTTAGTTCTCAAGGGATGGTTGCTAGCGAGCCAAGGAGTTTGAAAGGGGAGGGGCAGTATTTTTCTTCTATTATCACAAGAGCCCTGGAAAGATCAATGATAACATCTAAAAGCCAGAAAGAGGGAAGTTATAACTGTTCTGACACAGAGTTCAACAGTGGAAAATCTCTTCATCCTTAGTGTTAAGTTTATCGTGTCTTAATTTTGCATGCATTTGGTAAGTGCCCTGGAGTTTGTTTTCTCCAAGAGTAGAAAAGGATGTATAAATATTTTGAGTAAACAGTAATCTTTTTGATTAATGCTGGGCTGCTCCTGATACTGCCTCTCATTCTCAATTTTTTTCTTAGGAAGGGGGAAGGAGCTTTTCGCCTCCTGAATCAGACACCATTGGTAGCTACCTCAGTCAATGAGAAATACCTACTGAGAGAGACAGATGGCCGTCTGCAGAGGTGGAAAAAGCAGTCTTGCAAACATGCTCAACGTAATGTGAAAGCGGGACATAAAGCCCGGCGCAGGAAATCACAATTACATGGTGAGATATGCAAAAATACTTAACTGGGATGGATTTTGTGCATCATAGTGCTGTGCAGGGCAATAAGGTTTGCATTTCCCCTGTAACATCATAATGTCCATTAGAATGAGGACTCTGTTACAGCCCTGTCAGCCCCAGGGTTCCACAACAGTAGTTATCTCTAACTTCTTTTGTGGTAGCAAAAATAAAGTAGTAATTTCTTCTTTATTAAAATGGATACTCAAAAACTATTCTAGCTACAGTATTAGATTAAAGCCTGGCAGAACTAATTGGGTAACCTAATATTATAGTTCCTGCATTGGGAAATGTAAGCAATGTTCAGATATTTGGCTCCCAAGCGGGAAAGATATACTACTCTGTTCCTGCCTCCTTAATGTTTTCTGGGATCTTGAGCGTATTGTGTGATTTCAGGAAAATGCGCAGCTTCTCTGTGGGACTGCTGACAAGTACAGTGAGGTTACCTACTGGTATGCCAGACCTGTTTTAAGAGTCAAATATTTACATGTTCAAAGAAAGAGTTTATAGGATTATAGAATGTCAGGGTTGGGTGCTGAAGCAGTCATATGCTCAATTCATCTTCTTAAAGCCCTTGGAAAATCCAGGGAGAAATGGAAATTGCCTATTGTGTAGTGAAGATACGGCAGCTGTATTAAATAAGATGAAACTGGGAAGAGGAGGGACATTCTCATAATTGATTATCTCTTTTCCTTTTCTAGGTGCTGCACACAGATATACCACTCGCTGGTATCTTAAGATGATGAAGCCTTTACACATCCCGCTGCACAACTGCTTGGCCTGCAGAGCACGTGGATGCAAGCTCCGTAAGCAGCCTCTGGTGTGTCTGCTTCCTTGTCCTCCCCCTCTGTTGCCTGTATTGCACCTCAGGCAGTCTTTGATAAACAAGAATTGCCACCCCGAGATCCAGCAAGACTGCTCTCTTACAAAAGTGCACAATGGCCCTGAAAGCCCTGAAAGCCCGGGCGCGGCCAATCAGGGCAGCCTGGTAGTGAATCTCGGGAAGAGAATTCCCTTGGACTGGGCAAGGTTTCATAGGGAAGTAGCGTGTGACATTAACGAAGAAAACCTTTCTAACACTAACGAGGAGTTTAGCCAGGGGACCGAGGAATATGATTCAAAGGATATGGAGGAAAGTCATGCTGATGTTAAAGAAACCCATGAATCAGGATCTGGGGTTCTCCATTCAGGAAAGCAAGTCCTGTTTGATTCTTCAGGTTCTCTTTCATCCGGTCAGTTTTTGTGCAGAACAAGAAGCATGGCTCAGTGCCAAGCTCACGTTTTGCCCCAATCTCAGTTGTCATTACCAATGGTAGACCCCAAGCTTTCCCAGTATGCTCACGTCCGCCTGGAAGGCCCACTTTTTGGAGGCAGGCAGTGCTGGCAACAGCTCCCTTCAGACAAGATGGAGAAGGAACAAGCCGAGGAACAGCATCTTCCTAAGCGGATGGTTTCCTTTCCCCCTTTTGTGCCACCCAAACGGCTTCGACTGGTAGTGAGCCATGGTTCCATCAACCTTGAGGTAGCTGCAAGCTCCTGCGAGGAGATGTCCTGATCTGGCTGATCTCCTGTGACTGAAAACGAGACTTTAGCTTCTTACTGAATTTACCCATGAAAACCATCTACCAGAATTTGCCTGAAATTATCCATCTTTTTGTTGTGCCCTTCTCCCCATCACCTTGTATAGGTTGATAACATCTCTTCTGAAGTAATGTCCCCAGTGGGCACAAGGCTGCCTGTGCTAAAAACAAAGCCTTGTGTTCCACTCCTACTTTTTTCCATTGAAATTGATATTTCAGTTATCCTTCCAGAGTACTTCCTTTATCACATCCTCACGATTCCTTTAAAAGAATTGTTCTCCACTACTTTGCCAAACTTTACTGTATAGTCTTGAAACTTAAGCCATATAGGAGACTGCATGGATGCTTTGGATTGCCTCCTGGTCTTTTCTTTGAACTCTACTTTCTCTCCCACTGAGTCCTTTCACCTCTCTACTCTCGATATCTCCATGCTCTGGTTTATGCACTGTAGTTATAGACTGCTTGACAGATAGACATGGTATTTTGGCATTTATTGTCCCTACAGAGTGAGGCAGAATTGGTGAAGTGACTTGTGGAGAAAAGAAAACCAGCATCTAATCAGGGAAGTCTCTTTAAAACTTATTGCGAGAAAACCAGCAACCAGAAGTGCACATTGGCATGCAGCCTAAACAGTTCAGTCCATTTAGCCTGAAGGCTGGTTGTTTTTTTTTTTTTTTGCTAAATAGGCTTATATGGGGGATTAAATTGTTCTTGCTCCTCTTCTTTTGCCGTCTCACTGTTTGGATGCCTATTGTTACAAGACATCTAATTTTCTAGTTTTGGAAGCTACTTTTATATTAGTTATTTTGCGTGACTTATTTCTTCTCCCAGTTAGAGTTTTAAACAGGTGTCTACTGGGGCTTTTTAGAATCTTAATGAACTTTAGATATTCAGGTGTTTTATATTTGATAAAGTTGAGCTGCTTGGCTCAGGGGCATTGTGATAAAGGGGCTTCCTTTTGTGAGAGGCTGATGAGCAGGATAAAAGTTCTACTCGGTTTAATGTGGCCTAACTCAGTTCAAAGTCACATATGGTAGGTGGATTTGCTGTATATTTCTCCCACTCAGCTTACCATGACAGGACTCTTTGAACAGGTAGGGCACATTCTGGTGTTAGAAATCTGAATGCAAGGTATATGGGGAGAGGTGGTGGCAATTGAATGGGTGAAATGTTGCAGTTCAAGCTTTTCCTTTAAGTGCTTGCTTTGTTTTAAAATTTTGTGGAATCCTTTGTGGTGTTGACTTTGGATACATATCCAAGAGTCTTAGAACAGTCTGGTGTTCCTTTTCCAACTCATTCCTTTTCTGTTTGTTTGGTATTGTAGTTTGGTGCAGTTAGTGTTAGAGAAGCTTGTCTAGATGACTTGAATGTCATGTTAAGATAGGAGTTAAGCTGTGCACATTTGAAGATGGGAGTTAAGCTGTGCACATTTGAGAATAAGTTCCATTAAACTTATAGACTTTCTTTTAAATACCTATGGGTAGAATCCAGCCAAGGTTCTTTGATCTCTGAAGTTGGAAAATCTGAATTTTAGAGCTTTTAGAGTAGCAACTAGTTTGTCTGGCATGCATTTTTGGACTGACATACATAATGTATTGCAATTCTGGGTTTTTCATTGCTCTGCAAAACAGGTGCTGATTCCTGGGAAACCACTGTAATTTTGTAAGTAGTTTATAGCTATTAGCTTTGAAGAGAAAGGACGAGCTGATGCTGTTCAACCTGTCCTGAGAAGGAAATCTTAAGAAGAATAACCATAGACAACGCATACTTATGTAAAAATATCACAGAAACAATACAGACACAGAGACAATAGAACAGTTTTCCACAAAGTGATTGGAAAGGCATAACATTAGCATATTTTGGTAACAATTTGAATATTTACCTATGGGTGATTCATATTATTGTCCAGAATTACCATTGTCTATGGTCATTCTTCCTTTTACTCCCCTAGATTTATATGAAAAAAGATAGTTTAAAAAATGTTAGTGAACTTGATAAAGGTGGTCCTCACCTTATGACCACAATTGAGACTAGAATTTTGATTGCTAAGTGATGCAATCATAAAGTGATGTAATGTGACCACATTATTCAGTGACTGCAATCTTGGTGATTCTTGTTGCTGCTGTTAAGCAAATTTTACTGGGGCCCACCCCAGGATTTGTCCCTCCCAGACCTGAGCCTCAATAAGGTAAATTCCACCAACCTGCTTAGCTCTCCCTCCCCGCCCCCCCTTCCAATCTCTGCACTTTGGGCTGTCCTGTATCCTGCTCCCATTCCAGTTGCCCTCGCCATCCTGCACTCTGAGACCCCCACTGCCCCAGCTGACCTTTGCCGCCATCTTCTTGCTTCCTTTGCTTACCCACCCTGGCTATTGGGCTGAGCTGGGACTGTTTTCAAGGTGGGGGAAAAAAGGGAACCAAGTCCATTCCAGAGCTGCAGTATGCCAAATGTTCCTGAGCCAAACGGCTGGCTTTGTGCTATAAAAGGGAAAAAGTACGAAGCAGCTGCTGAAAGAGGCTGCTTCGCATTTTTTCTTTTTCTTTTTACACAGCAGAAAGCCAGCCCTATACATCCCAGAACATGGTGCAAAGGGGCGCTTTGGTGCGCTGTGGCCCACCAAAATACTCCTTTTAAGCTCCTTTGTCCCTTTCTTGCAGCACAAAGCTGGCCCCAGACCAGGCATACATTGTCAGTAGTAGAGAGAGAGAGAAATTAAGGTCAGCTGGGGCAGCAGAGCACAGGGTAGCAGGGGGCCAAATGGGAATGGGGGGAGTTGAAGTGCCCCTGTGGTGGTAGGTGTGGGCAGGCTGCTAACCACCTGAAGTTTGATTATGGGGGCATGCAATGGCTGTAACTTTGGGCATGGATCATAAGTCCCTATGTTCCACTTCGTTGTAACCTTGAATGGTTGCTGAACAAATGGTCGTAAGTCAAGGACTACGTGTATCACATTGCTCACTAAAATAATTGAGACATAGCTGAAATTGTACATCTTTTCCTGTTCTGTAAGCTTGCTTTATATGTGTGAAAATTTAAATAAGGCACTTTTTTCTTTCTCCAAAGTTCTGTACATTAGTAATCATTTTATATTTCATAATAATTATTCCATTGATTTCTTATTAATTGCACATTGTTGGTTGTGTCACAGAATGTGGGGTTTGCTATGTATGATTCTACTATTAATGCCTATATGTGAGTGTCTATGAGAATAGTTTTGACCTAATGTGAGATGATGTCTCATTAGTTTTTGAATTTTAAAGAGGCTTCTACAAGATGTGCATTTTCATCTGTGTATCAACGTTTGTGCACAGCATAGATGTACGTACTAAAAAGAAGTAGAGGTTTTAGTGGTTTTTCTGACTTTGTGGCTCCTATTAACGTGGGTGCCCAGACTTGCTTTCTTGTTTGCTACTTTCCACTTATGGATGTTCCATGTTAGTTAATAGTTGGAGACTAGTGGCACAGCCTTTAGATAGTGATGGTAATGGGGGGAGGGGAGAGAGGAACAAAGAGGGCAAGATGGTCAAGGGTTTTGTGTGGGGAAAGGTCAAGGGTGGGAAGGGTGGATATTGCTAGTCAGGATGTACACTCTCTGTGGAAAGACAGGCTGGGGCTGAGTTTTCACCTTCCCGTGCGTCTCTTTCCCCCATCTTTCCTGGTGGGTTTATGGTTTGTGCTACGTTGTTTGGGAAGGGAAGCATCAAGGCATTCTCGCATCTCTGACTTCAGTCTTCTTTCAGTCCAGTGTCCGTTAAGTCCTGTCTTTTCTTCTCCCACTTTCACGCTTTCAGATTAAAAAAAAACAAAACCATGTGTGTTCTCATGAGGTGGAGTGGTAGCAGATCCAGTTGTTTATTTTGTTCTAGCATCCTGTATGGGTAGATTTTTAAATCAGCCTCTCCAGGTCCAGCCTCTGCTTGTTTCCCAGATAATACCATGGTTGATTACATTGCTTCTTCCACCTTTTATAAGACTTTTCAAAGATGCTTTTGGCCTGGAGCCACTGTATCCCCATTTCAAAAGAAAGATTGAATTCCACTTCTCCATAAAAGTTATGCTCAGGAGGGTATGTTAAGATACCTTGATTTTCACAAAGCTGGGAAAAATAAGCAGCCTGGACACTGGGGAAGGTCTCTGGTTGGCTGGGTTCCTCAGGGAGTGGTTTGGTAGAAGCCTGCATATCATTTTCCTCCCCAGGTTTTAACCACAGTACATCAGTCCAACTACCTGCCTTTTGTGGCGGGGTCATTACAAACTTGCTTCATTAAGAAACAAATCACTCAGCTCAATATGCACTAACTAGGATTGTGGGGAATTTGCTCCATTGTACTACCCCGTCTCTCAACATACTTGCAATACTTTATTTAAATGGGGGATTTTTTCCAAACTTCAGCATCCAGAAGAGAGGAGAGTCCAAAAGGGGTAACGTGGGGCATATTTTCAGGAATGTGTGTACTCTGCAAAAAAAAAAAAAAAGTAACATAAACCAAGCTCTGAATTTACATGAATTGTGAAAATGAATTCTTCGGCGCCTTTTTTGTAACATGGGCAATATGTTATAGGAAAAATTGATTAGTGTGTCCCATCTAGCCTAGCTGGTCTATATCTTTACAAATCTGTCATCCCAATGTCAAGGGGCCAGGACTTGTTAGATGGAAGAAGTTAAACAGGACCCGGACTCAAGCTCAAATCTGGCATTGGTACAGCATGATTGAGTGCACACAGCCCTGGGTGTATATTAGTTTGGTCTTAGCAGATGGAGAGGGTGGGGGGCGGGTAAGAGGGTTGTCTGTATTTTTAATGGTGCTATATTTGGAAGGGTTGATGGAGGTTACTCTCAGCTCCAAGTGTGGAAATTTGGGGCCTCAGGGTATTTCCTGCCCCATGATCAGGCCGGTATCCTGAAGTGGGGTAAAGGCAGAAATGTCTGTTTGTATTTTTAATGGTGTGTGTTGGGGGTGTGTGCATAATACTTTTTAAAATACTTGATTGAAATAAAC